CTACACTAGGTATGTTAAACTAGCAACTGATTAGAGCCAACAGCCTCAAAAAGCACCTGTCATTTGTGAGAATCCATTATAAAGCTTTAAGCAATCATTGTGTTTCCAACTGAGGATCACATTGGGTGCATTCAGACGGGGCGTTTCAGCCGGCATAAACTGTACCGGTTGGAACCGGTGCAGTTTATGACGGCTGAAACGCGATCACACTTACCTCCCTCACAGCGGAGCCCATCGCTGTATGCCCGTTCACATGCTGCGGGCGTCGGCGTTTTTTTTAAAACTCAATTTGAGCATGCGCATAGGCAGCCATCCACAGAATGGCGATCTTTGCGCATGCTCAAACACCCCGTATTACATTTAAAGTTTAAAGGTAAGGACCCCAAAGGTAAGGAGCCCAAACTGGCCTCTCTGAAGTCCCGGACTCCTCTGGAAAGTTAAACTAAGGGCCTTTTTAAAAAAAAACAAAAACAAACGCTGGGGCGAAGCTTTGCCCACGCGCATATCGGCAACCTTTAAAAACAAATGGCGGGCAAAAATCAGAAGCCTCAGGCTTCCGAATGGAAGTTGTTTCTCAACGGTGGAGAGCGATCAGACGGCGGGTACAGCAATTACAACCATTGTACTCAGGATACCACCCAACGGTTAGGGACGGAAGGCAGATGTTCTACGTGTGAACGCCAGTAAGTTCACCGATTGCAACCAGCACCTATTCCGTTGCAAATGCCCCATCTGAACGCACCCATTGTGTTTCAGAATGTTCTCAAAAGAGCTAAGTTGATTGCTTTAGTATCTTGAAGACTAACAAAATTTGTGGCAGGGCATGAGCTTTCATGAGTCACTGCTCACTTCTTCAGATACAGCTAGAGTGTGAGACCATCTATCCTATATATTGGAAAGTGGAGTGATTTCAGATGCCGAATGATATTAGCAGTCAAATGACCATAACAGGTGAATGACAATAGCAGGTGTGATTGGATTAGGTGTGAAATGCAGTAGGCATTGGTCATTCGGCATCTGAAATCACTCCCCTTTCCAATATACAGGACAGGTGGACTCCCTTTCTAGCTGTATCTGAAGAAGTGAGCAGTGACTCATGAAAGCTCATCCCCTGCCATGAAATTTTGTTAGTATTTAAGGTTATACTGGATTCTTGCTACTTTTTTCTGCTAACATGTCTACCCATCTTGCTTCAGTATGTTAGGCCCCAACGATCCCAGCTATAGGGACATGAGGGTACAAGGTGGACCACATTCCAATTAGGATAGGATGAAGTCCAGCAAAAGTTTTCTTGTATGCCCATGATAATGGTAATAATGGTAGAAGCACTTCAGGGGGTTAAACATGTAGGTATTCTGTTTTACTTTGCAGTAAAAATGCAGATTTCTCTTGTTGGAACTGTACGCCAAAAGGACAGGGGTAGGCTTGGATGGTTGTGTGTGTGTTTGTGTGTGTGTGTGTGCGTGCATGCTGCAAACCCTATCTAGCATTTCAGAACTTCTTTTTGGCTACTCATGCAAAAAGAGTGTCTGGGGAATCTTTTAAGATCCTGACTTTATTGAATGCACCTGATCACCCACTAATGTTGGAAAAACATTGATACTTTAGCAGAAAAACAACCCTTTCCCTCACAGCTGCATCAGAACTTGTCCCTATTTACACAGGCGTCTGACATGGCCGCAGTGATTCATGCTACGGTAACCTCAAAGCTAGATTACTGTAACATTATCTACATGGGGCTGCCCTTGAAGACAACCTGGAAACTTCAGCTGGTGCCTGTTTGCAGCACATTACACCAGTTCTTAAGCATTTTCACTGGCTGCCTGCTTGTGTCTGGGTCCAATTTAAGGTGCTGGCACTTCCCTTTAAAGCCCTCTTATTGGCGTTAATCCTTCCTGCTAGCTGTACAGAAGCAATCTCAGGATTTTGTAAAATGCAGCCTGTGTATGGCAAGTTGGGACAGCAACATAATCTCATGCAATTTCTTCAAATGCTCAGTTCGGCATCTAGTTGACCAGTGGCAGCTCCTGTACATACTGCTGTATATTCAGAACTTTAAGAATGATCTACAAAGAGCAAAGAGTAGTGCAGCACCTTAAAGACTTAAAGACTAACCATCGTAGTTTGGCGACAGATTTTGTGAGCCAGAATCCACTTTCAGTACAATCCTATGCAGTTACTCCAGTCTAAACCCAATGATTTGAGTGGATTTAGACTCGAGTAGGGTTGCCTGGTCCCCCTTGGCCACCAGCAGTGGAGGGAGAGTCCTAGGATTGCCTGATCCAGGCTGTGAGATTCCTGGAGATTTGGAGATGGAACCTGGGGAGGACAGAGACCTCATGGGGTACAGTGCCATAGAGCCCATCTTCCAAAGCATCCATTTTCTCCAGGGGAGCTAATCTCTGTAGACTGTAGATGAGGTTGTAATTCCAGGCGATTCCCCTGGTTCTACCTGGAGGCTGGCATGCATAGGACTGTACTGTTTGTCAGATACATTCAAGATGGTGGCTGAATGTAACATTTGATGGATCTGCTTGCCTTGTTCCCTGACTCATGAAAGCGTATTCCACAGTAAAAGTCTCTGAAGCTACCCAAGACTGTTTGAATTGTATCCTGAGGGGCAGTGTGTGTAGCAGTTAAGAGTGCTGGGAGGCCCAGATCTGAATCCTGACTCTACCATGGAAGCTCAGTGGGTGGCCTTGCTGGGCCCACTCTTTCTCCATCACATTGACCTCACAGAATCGTTGCTGTGAGGATAAATCAGAGAAGGGGGGAAATTAGGGTGTAAACTGCTTTCACTCCCTATGGAAGTCAAGTCAAAAAAGCCAGAGAAGGGGTCACAGTGTGCAGATACAGGTAGGGCTGCCAAGCCGCGGCAGGGGATCCGCACGTCTTCACAGGATCCCTACCGTGAGGGACAGCAATATGCGTTGCACCGCCGTCACCAGGATGTGACACTACGCGTTGCTCTGGCAATGGGACTCCAAACAGCCCCATTGCCAGAGCGACGCATAGCATCACATCCTGGCGACGCCGGTGCAACGCGTATCGCTGTCCCCCCACAGCAGGGATCCTGTAACGACGCACGGATCCCCGCCGCGGCTTGGCAGCCCTAAAAACTCAGAGCTGACTGTGGTCACATACACTAAATAATCCACTTTCAGTGCACTTTCCAACTGGATTTTTCTGTGTGAACTGGCAAAATCCAGTTGGGAAGCGCACTGAAAGTCGATTACTTAGTGTCTGTGACCGCAGCCTAATAGTTAAATTACCTACCCGCACTTGGGGCGTGGAGTTCTCCAGGAATCACCAGTGTTCTCCGTTCTACGGGGATCAGTTCCCCTGGAGGAAAGGGCAACTTCGGAAGGTGGAATGTATGGTTATTGCTTACCCACTGAGCTCCCTCCCCTCCCCAAGCACTGCCCCCAAATCACCAGGTATTTTCCAAGCTGGCAATGGCAACCCAATGTTTAATTCATTGACGATCAGCTTGTGCCTTGGCCTTTCCCGAGGGTTCACGGTGGGGGTTACCAACGGTATAAGAATTAATACGGAATGGACAAACGTTAATTGATTCAGCTGTATCTTTTTTATGGCCTCCATACGGCCTACTGAATCTGCTTAGCATGCCTCACAATGCATTTTCCATGATTAGATTTTATAGTAATCCTGTGCTGTCTACCAGCAGTTGCTACATTACTCTTCAATTGGTTCTTGTTTTACACTGGTAACTTTCCCCCCACCCCAACCTTTTGTGTTGTTTGAACTCTTAAGAATAAAATTTAGTTGCTTTGGATGGACACTCCAAGGCATCTGATAAAGTGAGCTCCGACTTGTGAAAGCTTTGTCAGATTAAATTTTGTTAAATCTTTAAGGTGCTACTGGACTCCTCTATAATTTTAAAAAACCCTACCCAATTAAATTTAAATTACCCCCTTCCTTTAAGAGCCTAGTCACATAGAATTCTGAATGGGATAAAGAGGAAAGTCCTTCCAAAAAATGGGTAGGCTTGGACTTTTATGGATTTTTATTTTTGTGTGTGCATAGCTTTCCAAGAAATGTCACCGAACCATTTTCTTCTTGTAAGGTTTATTCTGCTTTGTATTAGTGTATCTCTTTACCAATAAAGCCAAATCCAAGGTAGGTCAGGCTTGAGCGAAGGCACATCTACTAATTTTTATTCATTTATTTGTTTGACTTATATCTCGCCCTCCTCTCTGAGGCAGGCTCAGGGTGGCTTACATAAAAATACATACAAGTATAAAATACATAGAATCACACATAAAACATCTTAATGTATTGTACAGTTAAAGTGCAAGATGCTAGAGCTAGAATAGATGATAATAATAATATTACAAAATTGTATAGTGGTCACAACAGAACATGTTGGTTAAACAAAGGGAATGGCCAGAGTTGGAATTCAGCTTATCTTTTCTAATTTTGCTGGTGGGCACAGGCTGCTGATGGAACATCCAGGAGGAGGGCCTAACACGGTACAGATTGTTATGTGCGACTCCTAATTAAAAGCCTGGTGGAAGAGCTCCGTCTTGCAGGCCCTGCAGAACTGTAAAAAGTCCCACAGGGCCCTGATGTAATCCGAGAGCTCATTCCACCAGTATGGAGCCACCACTGAGAAGGCCCTGCCCATTGCCTTGAAAGCTCAGTTTTGGATGTACAATTTTCAAGGTAACAAAACAGATATCTCACTGCAGCGATACAAAACTAAAAATAAATTTTCAGATTTTCAAAAGATATGGAATACTGAATACGGTACCAGCGACAATAAAAAGCAATAAAAATCCCCACTCTGCCTTGGAAGTTCACTGTCTCTAACCCTAGCCTACCTAGAATCATAGAATTGGAAGGGACCTCCAGGGTCATCTAGTCCAATCCCCTGCACAAAGCAGGAAATTGACAAAAAACCTCCAGGATGCCTGGCCAAACTGACCTGGAGAAAAATTGCTTCCTGACCCCAAAGTGGCAAACAGCATTTCCCTGGGTGAGTAAGAAAGGGCCACAAGAACTAAGCACTGAGGCAACCCCTTCCTGCCCTCCTATGAGGGTTCTGATTGTGAAGATAAGACAGAGCAAGGAAGAATGATGTTGCTTTGGGTCCCCACTGGGGAGAGAAGTGGGATACAGGTATCCAATTAAATGAGACTGGAACGAGTACTGAGAAGGCCCTAAGCAGAGTCTTTCCTCCACCAAAGATAGGTTCTAGAGGAGGCTCCTTTTGGCAGATCTTAATTCTAAGGTTGCATGTTGTATTTATTAGTTATGTATATATCCCATTTTTTCCTCCACTGTTGAACTCAAGATGGTGTATGTAAGGTTCCCAGGAAGTCTCCCTTACAGGCATTGACAGACAGGATGTTGATTCATGTATCTTCAGCCCGTAACCTGTTACCAAAAGGGAGAATCAGAAGCCTCCTCCTTTTCACGAAGACATATATCCTCATGTTGGTTTGTTTTGTTCAGTAAATAAAGAACAGAACAGCTGGATGGAAGGGGACGTCAACCAGGCCCTGATCGACCGATTCCAAACAGTGTTCTTTGCATCCAAGTTTTATGACAGTCCAAACTTTTCATAGTGTTCTAGTGCAAACAGGAACCTTTCTCGGAGAACGTCTTGGTTGCTGTATCTTGGAAGGCTCAAGATTCGAAAGCAGGTGCAGGCTTCAGGATACCACTGGTCTGGATTTTCTTTTCCGGCTTCTTTAATAATGAACGCAAATCTTTCCATCCCTTCACTTGGAACACAGTTTGTTCCTGTAAGAAAAGCTGAGGAGACAACACAAATTAAACAAGGCAGAGCCAGTAAATGGAGTAAAAAGAATGCATGCGGAGGAAGAAATGTGGGCCTACTTCAAGTGGCAGGGATGTGCGCACAGAGAAGAGAAACACATCTGAAAACAGGAAACAGGTATGCACCAGGAAGCTTAAGCTAATCACAGGCTGCGGTCACACGTACTAGATAACACGGGGGGAAGGCGAGGTTATTCGCGCCATCGCAATCTGATGCGCCACTATGGTGATCAGACGCGATGGCAGTGAACCCCGGTGTTTTTCTGTCGGCGCGATTCAGCTCGCTTCAACAAGGAGGCAGTAGGAGCACGCTGGAGCGATCAGACGGAGATCCGTCTGCGGCCCGTTGCAAACAATTTGCTACCGGACTTTCTGAGGTACTTTTTTACTCTGCAGCTTTGGCCGGGCGGTACAGGTTGGGGTCGCGACACTTGCCAGATGTATCCATGTGATCGCGCCCGTTAAATCCGCCCGGCATTCGTCCCTCTCGCGCGGCTAATTGTGTGTGTGATTGGAGCCACAGTTATTTATTTTTAAATTAATATTCAGTTCTTTCTGGTGGGTTCCAGACTTCTAAAATCCTAATGCATTGGTGGTTACTGAATCTCCCATTTTGTTGATTGTACTGACTCACTCTGTGTAATCCACCTTGACTCCCTAGGAGAGAGGTGGACTATAAATAACATAAATAATTACTATTGGGGGGGGTGGGTTTATACGATGAGATTATCTGGATTTATCTCTTTCTTGTTATTATTTCAGTGATGTACTCTTGTAATTTAAATTCAAATGTAAAAAGTAAATAAATAATACAACAAATGTATCATTACCAAGAAAATCCGTCTTCTTTTCTTCCGGAAGGTCATGAAACACAGCCCAGAAATTCTTGATCGTTTCATCTGACTTTTCATAACCATGGTACTTTGCATTCTGTCACAGAGAATTAAAAAACAGTCCTGCTCTATTAAGCATTTAGTAGCTTTTTATGTAAACCAATATTCACTGCCCAGCACACATTCCACACAGTTTGGTCATTGGTATGCCTTTGCAGATGGAATCTAAGGAGCTGCTCCACATACCGCAAACTGACAAACCTGGGTTTGGTCAACAAGCATATGGTTGCCAGAAAGCTACAGACAACCCCAATTAACTATCGAATGTTCCCTGTACAACCATCAGGACTCAAGGCCACAGGGGATTCAGAACTTGAGATGCTACCACCCATTTCTGGCCAAAGGAAGGAAGTGTAGGAAGATCAGCTTGACCAGCACAGTAAGCTTCTTAACACCAATAGGCCCAGAAGAGGCCAGGTAACACTCCCTGATCCCTGTACATGCTTCCAGGTCAGGCCTGCTCACTAGTGTGAGGGGACTCTGTGCTGTGTAAAGATCTGCTGAGGGCTACAAGACATCTGCCAAGGAGCTACTCTGGGTGGTCCCGAAAGGTACATCCCAGAATCCTTTGTAATGCTGTAGAGGATGCTGGGACACGAACCTTGGCTCATGCACTGCTTCCCCAGTCCCTGTGACAATGCTGCCATCCCATTCTGCAAAGTAAGCCCTCTCCCCTTTCAGTGTATTAATTCTGTACCTTTTCTCTTGATTTTACATATACTGGCCTCTTGAACAAATTCTTAGCCCACTACATAGCTGGGCATAAAAGTGATGAGAGTTTTAAACGTACACACTAAGCCCACCTTGTAATGCAAGGAGCCAGTTATTATTGGCGGAGATGATGTAATACATCAGGGGGCACGAAGCACGCCTGAAGGGGGGCAACAAGGATCAGTGGGGCAACAGTCAAAACAGTAAAGACTGTGACACAGATGATTCACTGCACTATTCTATAGAGCAGGAGTGTCAAACATACGGCCTGTGGGCCAGAACCGGCCCAGCCAGGGCTTTTATCTGGCCCACAAGCAACTGGCCACTTTGGGGGTCAGGAAGCAATTTTTCTCCAGGCCAATTTGGCCAAGAATCCTGGAGGTTTTTGGTCATCTTCTGGGCATGGGACAGGGGTCACTGCGAGTGTGTGTGTGTATCTGGGGGAAGTATCTGTGAATTTCCTGGCCTGGCAAAGTGACATTTATGTCAGACCCGGCTCTCATAACAAATGGATTTGACACTACATGGGGCTGCCCTTGTCCCAAATCCAGAAGCTGCAGCTGGTGCAGAATGCGGTGGCCAGGCTGTTGTTGGATCTCCCTCTGCGAGAACACAACCAGTCTGCACTGAAAGCACTGCCTTGGCTGCCTGTAGCACACCGGATTCGCTTCAAGGTGCTGGTTCTTACCTTTAAAGCCCCTTATGGCCAGGGGTCAGCATTCCCGAGGGACCGCCTTTCCCCACATGTTCCCCAGAGAGTACTGCGTTCAGGGACACAAAACCTCCTGACTCTCCCTGGTCCTAAAGAGGCCAGACTGGCCACCACCAGGGCTAGGGCCTTTTTGGTGGCAGCTTCTTGCTGGTGGGATGAGCTTCCGAAGGACATCAGGGCCCTGCAGTTTATTACAATTCTGCAGGGCCTGCAAGATGGAGCTCTTCCACCAGGCATTCACACGAGAGCCACATATAACATCTTAACTTAAAGTCAGAGCTTTACCCTGGAATTTTTACCATCGGCTATTACCATTATTGACTGACACCTGTTAAGGATAATACTCGGAAGCTGCTGTTTGCCACCTGATCTACAATATTGTTGTATAGCACTTTAGAATCTGTTTATATGATTTTATTCTGTTTTCAAAATTTTTATGTAAGCCGCCCTGAGCCTGCCTCGACGGGAAGGGCGGGGTAGAAATCCAATAAACAAACAAACAAATAATTCTGCAGCATAGAGTGTATTTCACTGACTGGTTAATTCAGCCATGGATAAACGCACACTCTGCCCATTACCTTTTCTAGTTCTTCCCAATTGTATTTTGTATGCCAAATCAGAACAACCCGGAGCTCAGCAGGAAGGAAGATATTCCAGTTTTGAGTTGGGCAGCCTCTTGAAAACCCACGCATGAAATCCTTAAACTGTTCCTCAATGGAATCATTGAATATGTAATTCACGTAGGCATCAACGTATTCTCTTCTGTAAATATATTGAGGAGGTATTTCATTTATTTACTAGATTTACTGATTACTTTTTTTTTTTTTGCAAAGTGTGCACATTTGAAAATATCTAACTTCAAAACAACAGCCTGGATCCCACAGATCTGAACCACTAATGGTGGCACCTTCGTCTGGTATGAGGCACTGTCCTCTGATGCAAGACGCTTCTCTGCTAGTGGAACAGCCTCTTGTGTTTGAGAAAGGCACCTAGCAGCACCAAAGCAAGGTGCTGCTGTTAGCAGAAAAGATCTGCGGAATCCAACCCAATAAGCATTCCCAATTACACGTCAGCTCATGAAATGGCAGTCCGTACTTGAGAATTTTTGCTTTTGAACCAGTTATTGTCAGGAAAAAAGGAACAGGCAATTCTGCCAAACTTCTTGGCCACCCAGTTACCAAGTGCTCTAGCACAGCAGCTAAGATACTAAGCAATGAACCAGGAATTCCATGGCTTTAATATCATTTTTACCACTAGCCCTAGGCCTCTGAGCTTCAACTCTCTATACCCAGCACAGGGATAATAATAGTGACCTTCAGTCAGTAGTAAATTGGGTAGTGAAAATGGCCCTGAAACAAAACTGAGCAGTGCCTGTGGTGCTACAAGCCAGCACTTCAATGGTCACTCTGCTCAGCAGCGCAGGCAATGAGTATTCACCCATTTCTCCCTCCTGAAAACTGGCAGGAGTGCAGGAAATGACTAATGGTGAACTGGTACCAATTGCAATTGCCCATGGAGTCCGAGCCAAGTGGCCCCTGAGTCTCTGGAAGTGTTGCTAGCACTTGGTTATCCTAGCTTCTGGCCACCAGCAATATGCTAAGGCAGTGGCCCGCCAGGAAATCTCCTGGTAAGTCCGCCCCAGCTTTCAGTGGTTTCCAGTGGCCAGTTAAACCACTGACAATTTTGGTGCCTTGCACCAGATTGCAGGTGTTGCTCATACAGGGAAAAGCTATTTTGCATCTTACAATAATCTCCATGCTGCTTATCCTAGGATTATAATCATTCCTTTGTCCACATGTATGGATTTATGTTAACTCCGGGATCTCAATCTCTGCTCTTCTCCCATGGTAATAACGGTTGGTGCAGAGCCGGTGTGGAGAGGGCAAAACATCCTGCAACCCTTTCCAGATTATTGAAGCTATAGATGCCAGCAGAATACGAGGCCAGCACTGTCTGGCAGCTTTAGTTCAAAGACAGTTTAAGCCCCCTGTCAGAAAACACCCTCCATCTTTCACTAAAGGCCTCCAATTCCCATTGAGTTTGAAAATATCAAGGTCTGACTTCAGATTTGGCAACAAAGGTGCTAATTAGGGATGCCAAGTCAATTTTTCTTACCGGTGGGGGAGCCTCGCTGGGCTCCAGGAGCTGTCTGTTGATGTGTGTGTGCGCGCACAAAGTGCGCGCCGCCAGCACATCACCAGATGTGACTCGCGACGTCGATCACGTTGAAGGCGTGGCGCCGATCGTCAGAGGGAAAACCATAGAGCTTTCCCTCTGACGATCGG